CGCCGGCCGCGCCCGCCCCGCCCGGTACCGCGCCGCCGCCACCGCTGTTGCCGCCGCCGCCGCCGGCCCCACCATGATGAAGTTTCGGTTCCGGCGGCAGGGTGCCGACCCGCACCGCGACCGCCTCCGCCACGACCTCTTCGCCTTCAGCAAGGTGCGTCCAGGGCGAGCGCGGGGCGCGGCGGAGGGTCCCGGTGGGGCGGCGACCACCGGGAGGCATCGGGAGGCACCGGGCGGGGTGCGGTGTGCGGGCACCCCCCGTCCCTGGGGGCGCGGCGCTGCGGGACCCCACGGCGCGGGATGCTGCCCGCGGGGAGGCGGGCGGCGTGCAGGGCACCGCCTCCCCCTGGAGCACCGTGAATCCCCGGGAAGCCGCGCACCGGGACCCCCCGGCACCCCCGGGGAGGGGGCACTCTCGGTGGGACGGGGCTGCCGGGGCGGGGGACCCCCGGGATCAGGGGTGCGGGAGGATACACCCCCGGGGGTGGCTACCGGGAGCTCCCGGGTGCGGGATGCGCCCCGGGGGGCTGCGCTTCTCCCGCGGAGTGCACGGGGGCAGGATGCGACCCCCGCACCGGCGCAACATCCCTTCTCCCAGCCCCTTCCCGGAGCGTCCCTGTTCCCACACTCACCCTGTCCCGGGGCTTCCCCCAGGCCTCGCTCGCCGGCGTTTCGGGGTGTCCCGTGGTCCCCCACCCTGTCTGGCCCTGGAGCATCCCTGGCTGCACCCCCCGTGCGGGGCTCAGGCCCTCGCCCCAATCCCCGCAGGAGTGGGATATTGGTGGTGCCGGACCCCCTGTGTCGGCAGGAAGGGCTGTGGCGATGACCCCCGAGGCTTGATCCCCTTGCACCCCAAATTGTGTCTGTGGGGTTTGGGGGTCATCGGACTCGCAGAGTTTGGGCACTGGGGACGTTTCCCACTCGGTTCCCTCATTCGGGTGGGGGACGCCCCCAAGCTCATCAAACTACGCTGGAGGGACCCTGCGAACCGTGGGGTGGGGGACCTTTCCCTCAGGGCATCGGGCTGTGCCGGCGGGTGCCCGCCTGGGACTCCCTGCACCCCATCCCGGGAGCCCCGCGGCGTTGGGACCACCCTCCCGCGATGGCCCCGGGGGGTAGGAGACCACCGGTAGTGGCCCCTGGATGAGCCCAAACCGTGTCTGTCCATCCTCTGGCACGTCCTAGCACTGCCGTTGGGTACTTGCCCAACTCCCCGCCGTGCACCAGAGGGATCCCGGGGTTGTCCCACGGTGGGGCCGAGCTGGGAGGTGTCGGGGTGTGCTGTGGGGTAAGTTCGGAGCCAGCAGCCCCTGCCCAGCACAGCCCTGACCCCCCCGGAGGGGGTCTGGCCGGGGTGCAAGGCTCAGCCCAGCTGGAGCCCCCCGTTTTTGGGGAGTACATTCTCATGGCTGGATCCTGCCCGAGGGGGCATCCTGTGGGGTCTGTGCCGGTGGGATGTCCTGGGGGAGGGCCGGGGGCAGCCCCGCTCCGACCGTCCCAGTGCTGAGGCCGCCGGCTGCCCACCTGCCTCCCATTAACGGTTGTTTTTCCTCCCGAGCTCCAGATCTGCCTGGGATTTGCTGTAATTTGGCCGGGAGCGCGCCTTGGCCGGCCGGCACAGCCTGCCGGATGCGGCCCCGCTGCGGGCGGGAGGGAGGGCTGCGGGCGGGGGGCTGAGCCGGGCCCCCGTCCGGGGCTGGGAGTGCTTGGGAGCAGCCGGGACAGCGCTTTTTGGGGAGGCTTTGCCACTGTCATCGTGTTGGACCCCGGCCTAAAGCATCACTGTGGCGTCCCTGCGCTGCTGCTGTCCCAGCTCCTTCCTCCAGCCCAGCGTGCATCCTGGGGGGAATCGGGGTGACCCTGGGTGGGGCTGCCATAGGGATCAGCACCCACAAGCATCCACTACCTCACCCTTTGGATGGGCTGGGACCCACTTGGATAGGCTGGGGCGCCTTGCATGGGCTGGGGACGTTGTCACGCTCCTGAAGGTGTCCCTTGGGAGGGGAGCAGGAGCTGGGTGATCACGGCTGCCGCCGGCGGGTGTGAAAAGCCGCCCCGCTGCGCCTCTCGGGATGCCCCAGACAAAGGGAGCAGGTCAGGATCCGGCCAGTCTGGCTCCGGCGGGCTCCGTATCGTCTGATCGCGCCGTGGCTGCTCAGCCGAGCTGCCCCCGGGAGCGCTGCGGTCCCCTCGGGGCCGGGGCGGTGGGTGCCCCCCGCGTCCCCCCGCTGCCAAGTGGCAGCCCCTCCCCTGCCGGCGAGTCCAGGCACGCCATCGCCGGCCGGGACTTCCTTGGGAAGGTGCCCGCGGGCGGCACGCGGCTCCAGCGGGGACGTCCCGGGTGCTGGCGGGTCCCGCTCACCTGGTTCTGCCGCCCGGCATCGGGGACCCCCGGTGATGCCACGGTGGGGGTCCCGCTCGCCCCTCCTGGGGTGTCCCTGCCTCGGGCAGGGGGTCACATCTGAAAAGGCCGGTGGGTGGTGAAGTGGTTTGTGCAAGCTCAGACCTACTCCGGTCCTCAGTGTGGCTCTTAGGTTGCTGAGTAGAAATGGGGTGAGAAGTGATGTCCCCGCTCCCCAGGGCCCCCTTGGTGGCAGTGGGGGACCAGACAGCATCTTTGTGATCCCCCATTGTAGGGGTGATGCTCAGGCTGGTGCAGATCAGAGCTGTGGGGGTTAGAGGGAGCCGTGGGAGATGTCTGGGGGGCAGTCAGTGATGGAGGGTCCCGCTCTGACCTGCCTGTCCCCGTGGCAGACAGTGGAGCACGGCTTCCCCAGCCAGCCCAGCGCCCTGGCCTACGACCCCGTGCTGCGTGTGATGGCCATCGGCACCAAGGCAGGAGCCGTCAAGCTGTATCCTTTTCCCCCCTATGAGCAGGAGGTAAGGACCCCCCCCAAGCCCTTCTGGACTCCTCTGGCTCTCTCCATCCTGGGGAATGCTTGGAGACGTGGCTGTGCTGCTTCTGGCCCATCCGGCAGCCCCTGCTCCGCTGGCGTCCATCCGTCCATCCACCCGTCCAGCTGTGCTGCAGCTGGGCCGGGCAGGGAAGGGGAGGCTGGAGGAAACCCCCACCTCACCCAAAACATCGGGGGGGGCAGGGGGGCAAAGGGGCTTGGCCGTCCTGGGTGGCATCCCAAGTGGGGGTCCTTCCCGGTGTCACCCCCACATCCCGGGGGGCTCCTGTGCATCCTGGCCTCGTTCACGCAGCCCTCGGGGGGGGCAGGGGGTGGGCAGCGGGAGCTCTGGCCGGCCCGGCGCCGGGTGAGGGGCTGCGGTGGGCGCTGAGCCCGGTCCCGGGTGGGGGGCCGAAGCAGGGGACGCCGGCCGGGCTTTTGTTGCCGGCAGCGTGCAGGGAGACTTCAGAGGGCTGCTGGCGGGCGGCCAGGGCTGGATGCGGCCCATGCTCGGGGGGCCCCGCGCCGCAGGAATGCGGGGTGGGGGCGCGGGGGCGGCTGCGCCCGCAGCGAGGTCGGGGTCGGGGTGCGGGGGGGGCCACGCTGCTCCCCCTCCCCCAGACCGGCGGCTCGCGGCCTCCCGAGCACAAAGATGGCGTGTT